GAAAACCACATTTTTAGCTCAGAGTCAGACTGTCAGAAGTTCAGCCTCAATTGAAGACTTTCTCACCGTCCGATCCAGCTCAAATTTGGAGACAATCAAGAGGAGACAACCAGCTTTCCATAACACTTTACATCACAAAGATCCAACGGTGAAATCAAAAGATACATGGAGAACAAATTGACCCAGTTCACCAGTCCCAGAAGACTCTCACCCGCGGGAAACACATGTTTTACCTGTCCTGCAAGACTCTCACCCCCGGTGGACCTTAGGACGAGCCACAAGGCCCAACATCAAAGCCCACTTCGCCATTCCTCTTCAGAGAAGCCCGAAATGAGACCTGGAAGACCTTAGGACCTATAAATACATTGTTTAGTAGTCCTAAACGGGTGTGTGCTCCTGTAATGAGATTTTGAGCCACCAAACTTTGTTTTTCTAGGGTTAGGCGATGGAGATGGGGATTCTTCCCCATATCCATTGTTCTTCCTCCTTTTTATCCTATTAACTTTTCTGTTTCATTCTTTTGCATTCTTTTATGTGTTTCATCATTCATTGCATCATATAGATTAGTCCCAGAGAGTCAAGTTGTTTGAAGATGTCGACAAGCATATATATCGATTAGGATTTCTATTGTTTTTAGCCATATTCTGGATCTCATCTCTTCTAAGTTGTTCGTTAAGCATGAGAGTAGATTCATGACCTATTCTCTGAGCCTAGGATCGATCAGAGCCACGAGAGTGCTGTATCAGATCATTCGTACATAGCTTCAGAAGAACATAGTCGCTATAGGAGTCGAAAGCTACCTATAGAGAAGATGTGAGCAGACGAATTCAATGTTCAATGCATGATCTTAAGTTTAGCATGAAAGCGAGAGTTAATTTCTAGATCTAAGAGATTAGTTGATTAAGGTGACGACAATTGGTTAATCATACATGTGTCTATTCTAGTTCAATGCAGATTTCCAGAAACAGATGAAGATAAATCGCCCGGAAGCTAATTGGAAATGCCACCATACATCGATTAGAGTAAACCGGAGAAGTCTAAATCGCCACCTATGAGTTTAAGAGTCTTTAGTTTGAGTCGATATGTTTTAGATGTTATTTTTACAATTCATCCTGAATTGCATTTTTTTGTGAATACTAGATTAGGTTTAGTTTAGGATCTTAACCAAAAACCCCAAATCTTTTATTGGTTTTATGACTTTGCTTACTTCCTAGTTTGTTGTTTCTCGCAGATTAGACATCATCCCTGTGGATCGACACCCTAAGTCCTACAACGTACATCTGTGCACTTGCAGACACTATGGTTTTATAAATTTAAAACTTTCGGAGGACCATAGGGCTTGTTAAAAAACAACCCTAGGTCCGCAAGCCCATCAACCTCCATCGAAGCACCTAACCAAGTAAGAGTTAGCGATCTTCTAAATGTGCAAAATATGGAATGAGATCAAACGAAGGTAGATGCAATACTACCTTCTTACAGAGGGAGAATCCTATCTCTAAAACCGAGCCTCCTAAGGATGAAAGACAAGCAAGTATGACAAAAACACCATTCAGGAGAATACTCGGTCAGATCAGGGTATAGAGCAGCTCTTGAAATGCAGGCGAAGGAAAAGAACCTTACAGATATCCTAAACGTAGACTGGAACACACAGGTATGGAAATTAAAATCAGATCCTAAGATAAAAAATGTTTATATGGAAGGCGATCCACGAGGCTCTGCCAGTGGGAAACCAATTGAGCATCCAAAACATACCTGGCAATTATCTATGCGCGAGATGCAACGAGCCCGAACAAAGCTTCCATATCCTCTTCCGTTGTTCATTCGCGATAGAGGTATGGAAAAGTAGCCCCTTCGCGTGTACGATTGATGCTATGCAATTCAAAAACCTTGACTCTGGCCTACAACAGTCAAAGGAAGGTTTTAGTATTCCACTGATTGGTTTGCCAAAAGAAATATTATCCCCTTGGATTTGTTGGACCCTCTGGATCTCCATAAATCAGAAAAGCTTCAGCAATCGTACCTTCTCAGTAGTTGAAACGGTACTCAAGGCTGTATGCGACGCAAGGGAATGGTACACTGCTCAACCATCATCGGCCACGCCGACAGTACTCCAGCTTATGCAAATCCCTCAAATCTGTGAGAGCCAAAACTCGCACAACCAGAAATTTGTCTAAGGAAAAATTAAGGGATCGGAAACTTCTAGGGTTTATCGCCAAAACAGTAAGATCGAAAGAAAGTTTTTCTTGCTGTAAAGTGTTTAGTCTTTATTTCTTAGGGTTGCCAAAGTTGGCGGAAGGAATTGCATACATCATATATTTATACTAACTTTCTAAACCGCCTAGCCGAAAATCTCGGGCGAGATTTTCGGAATATTTCCTTATCGCCTCGTGCGGCTGACCGCCTTTGCATCTCGCCTAGGGTTTTCCATGGGCTTCATCTCTCAAGGCTTTGGTTCGGCCCGTCCAAGCTTCTTTACGGCTCGGCCCATCTAGCCTTCTTCACGGCTCGGCCCACTTGCCATGGAGACATGATCTAGCCCACCGCACCGATACACGGCTCGGCCCAAACGTGTTGAAGTGGGGCTCGGCCCATTTCTTTCGATGTGGCTCGGTCCACCTGTCTTCTTTCACGGCTCTCCCTACTGGCCTATCTGCACGGCTCTCCTATTTGTCCTGGTGAGAACGGCTCTCCACTTGTCATGGTGAGAACGGCTCTCCCACTTGGCGACCACGGCTCTCCCACTTGGCGACCACGGCTCTCCCACTTATCTTTCTTCCATACTTAGCCATTCTGAGGTGGTTTATCTACTTGGGGTGAAAACCGACCCCAACAGTTAGCCCCCCAGCTCGTCAGTTTCGGAGGCGAGAGTGACGAGGTCCATTATTTCCGACCGTAGGATAAACCACTGAGTTAGACGCCAAGGCGTTTTGGGAATGAAGACGCCGAGGTGTTCTGGGAATGAAGGCGCCGAGGCGTTTTGGGAATGAAGACGCCGAGGCGTTCCCAAGGAGTGCCGAGGATGCCGAGGTGTTCGAGATGGTACCGAAGATGCCGAGGCAAGATTAAGGACGAGGCGATTTTTTTTAATAGTGATAGCCCATGACGAGGTGATTTGAGGAGGTTATGCCGAGCCAAACAAATGGCGAGGCGTTTCGAGAGAAAGCTCGTGCCGAGCTGTTTTGTTAGCGGCAAGACGTCTCAAGAAAGAATGTCAATGCCGAACCGTTTTGTTAATGACGAGGCGTTTCAAGAAACAGATTCAACGCCGAGCCGTTTCGTTAACGACGAGGCGTTTCAAGAGAACAGATTCAATACCGAGCCGTTTCGTTAACGACGAGGCGATTTAAGAGAGAAAGAGTCAATACCGAGCCGTTTTGTTAACGACGAGGCGTTTTAGGAGAACAGATTCAATGCCGAGCCGTTTCGTTAACGACGAGGCGTTTCAAGAGGGAAAGAGTCAATGCCAAGCCGTTTCGTTAACCTGGGTACCCTGACTGTTGGTCTTCCGAGAGGAAATTCCTGATCTTTCGGCGCGTGCCAACGACGCAGTCCGGTATAGCCAGTTCACCGCGGATCCCACGCGCTGTTGGACGGCTTCCCGAGGTTTACGCGGAATTCACGCGCTTCGTTTTTTTTTCTATAAATAGGTGAGCTCCTTCACTCTTCCTCATTATCTCCAGACTCACTCGTTTTCACTAAAGGTAGCTCTCCCTTCTCTCTTCTTTCTCTCTCTAGTTTATTTATTTTCCAGCTAGGGTTTCCGAGGTCTCCGCCGTCCCAGATCTTTTTCCGGCAGAGGTTTGCCGAGTCCTTCTGTAATTCTTGTACAACTTGTAAATCATGTCGAGCCGCTCCGACGATTCGTTGGACTCGCTTTTTCATTACGAGCCGAGCCGCGTAGATGCCGAGGCGAGAAGTTCAACAGAATCCTCCGAGGCGTCTGTTTCGCCGAACCCTTCCAATCGCTCATCTGACGAGACGTCGAATGACACGAATCCATCAAACGAGGGTTCTGCAGATGATGAGCCGTTGGCTTCGACGAGCCGTCCCCAGGCCCCGGTTCCTGATGAAGGTGTTAATCGCGCCATAGTAAAAGCCAAGGAGGAAGCATTTCCCTTTGACCTACTCGAGGCGAAGTACGAGTTGGAACGTCTCATGGCGTCCCGAGGCGCTTCCACATCTGGGCGAGGGCCACGAGTTAAAAGACAAAAGCCTGATCCGCCTGGCTCTACGCTTTCTTCCCTTGAGTCGCTCGAGGCGTTGAGGTATCTCTTCGGGATATCCGAGGCGGTGGAGTTTGCGTTCCCGAGAAGAGCGACCGAGCCGACAAGCCTCCGGAGAATCACTTCACTCTGTATGAGGCGTTCTTCGAGCTTTGCTTTCTCTGGTTCCCGATCCCCGGAGTGATCCTGGAATACCTTTGGAAACACGGAATCTCGATTGGGCAGATTATGTTGAGGGGATTACGGCATATGATCGGCATTTTAGTCCGAAGCTTCGAATGCGGTCTTGACATCGAGCTGAATCACCTGCTGAACTTGCTGGAAATCAGGAAAGCTCCGAAAGGAAATAGGTTCTATATTTCCAACAAGGCGAAGCGACGGATTATTGGCGGTTTTCCCAGCAAGGATAAGTTTTGGACTGAACGCTTCTTCTACGTCTTGGTGAACGAGGCGTGGATCGGCGAAGATTACGTTCACCGAACCAAGACTACTTGGGGACCACTTGGTAGCCGACCCGAAGCTTTGCCTCGGCTCGGAGATTCAGTTGATATTCTCTTCCTTTTCTGAAACTTTTGCTTTTTTGCTTTGTTTTGCAGTTCGGTGCTATCTTCCCCCGATTCCCGACGACCTCTTTACTGTTCGAGACTCTCTTTCGGCGCGGAAGGTTAATTGGAGAAAAAACTTCACCCTCGAAAGAGTAGAAAAGCGCGAGCCATCCTTGCCGGAGTCCCCGTCAGTTCTTCGTCCTTAAGTTCTTCGAGAGATACCCGGGAGAAGATGGTGGTGATCGCCCTTAGAGAAAGGAAGAGGCGCGAGGAAGAGGAAGAGCAAACCGAGGCGGCCTCAGCGCAAACCGAGGCCGTCCTTCAGCCCGACCCTCCGAGCCGGGAAGGGGATGTGATGATCCGAGCCGCAGAAGGCGACACTACCGAGGCGGCTGAGAAAGACGTAGTGCCCGAGGTAGAACCGGGCGAAATTATCCCCGAGGTGTCTGGGGACGGCTCGGCGGCGCGGAGTAAGACTCCTTCGCAATCCGCCATCCTGGCCCTCCCGAAGTCGACGAGGCCACCGACTTCGGTCGTCCAGAAGCATGACTCTAGCCGAAAACGTTCGGCTACTGACAAGGGGAAAGGCGTCGCCGTCCAGAAGGACGAGCCGTCCAAGAAGAGGCGGAAACCGACGCCCGGGGACCCCGCCCCGCGTAAATTGGTTGTTGACGACCCCGACGCTTCTGCCGTCATGTTCTCGCGTGTAAATAACGCGAACACGCGTCTTCCTCCTCCGGAGAAGCTGAGGAGGCCGAGGTCATACGGCGCGATGATGCAGCGTGGTACTAAGGTACGTTTCTATTCGCTGTCCTTTATTTTCTTAAACTTTTGCTAAGTGTTTAACGCGAGTTTGTTCTTTGAAGTTTGTCGTGGCCATTAACGACCTGATGGCCGAGTATGAGGTGGACCTGTCTAAGGTTGAACGTCGCTTGGACGAGGCCCGAAATGAGACCGCGGCGTCAAAGGTGAAGTTGGAAGAGGCCCAAAACGAAGCCGCGGCAGCGAAGGAGAAACTCACCGAGGCGATGACCCGAGTGTCGAGGTTGGAAGAGGAGAAGATAGTTCTTCAAGCAGACGTCAACAAAGTTTCCGCCTCGGTGATTCTCCTGGAGGAAGCAAGGAGAGCCAAAAGCGCCGAGGTGGCGTTGCTTAAAAGGCGTATCGAGGCCAAGGACGCGCTGTTCGAAGCCAAGGTCAAACGCGCGAAGAAGGAGGCGAGGCGCGAGCTGACGGCGAAGTTTCAGGAACGCCTCGCCAAGGTGGAGGAGGGTTTGGTCAAGCTCGAGAAGGCCAAAAATGATGAGAACGATCTGGGACAGATCAAGGGCAATCTTGCGATGATTTGCCGACCTGAAGAAGCCGGACGCCCCGACGCTTGACGACGAGGAGGCGAAGGCGTACGAGCGTATTGCTTCCAAGATTCGGGGCGAGGTGTATTACTCTCCCGTATCGCCGGACTCGGTCGACACCACCCTCGGCAACAAGCAGCTCGAAGAGACAGCGGCCAACTTAGGCGTGGTAGATCCGAACGGATCAAACGCGGGCACGCCAGTCCTCTCGAACCTCCTCGCCGAACGTGAGACGCAGTCCGCGGCCTGATACCCTCTGTTTTTCCCTGTTTCGTCTTTCATGCTTTTGTACTTAGGTTTTTTGTACGTTTTTGAACTCTTTTTGTAACCGATGCCTGGACGGCTTTATCCACCCGACATTCATTTTTGCTTATGGATATATTTTCTCGTTTAGCTGTTTTTCGTTTGGATGCACTTATTTTTAATGACTTGTGCAAATATCTGTGAAAACCAATGGTTTAGAGAAGATTGTCGAGAATGATTTTGATTGCTTCCTTAACCGAATTCTTCGAAATCGATAGAAAGACGGGCTAAGGGTTGAGTTGTTTAAGGGTCTCGTTTGTATTCTTAATCCTGAGCTGGGAGTTAGTTTTGTGGAACATCCTTTAGGTGATGCTGGAAAGATTTTAAGTGATAATGTTGCAGCAAATTTTTGTAGCAACGCCGAGCTGTTTTTAACGATGAGGCGTTTTTGCCGTGCATGGTGCCGAGCCGTGTAAACGCGAGGCGTTTTCTCTTTGCGTGGTGCCGAGCCGTTTAAACGACGAGGCGTTTTCGCTTTGGTTAGCCAAGGATGAAGTGTTATCGATCCTGACTAATGGACCGGTGTTTTCGAGAGGATGAGTATGTTTATCCGGTTTTAAGAGTTTACTTCGGTTTTAGAGAAAGCGATGTAGTCTCGACTTATATTCTCGTGTGCGATAGTAAACCGTGGCGACCTGATACGTTTTCGGTCTGATATTTGTATAGCGCGCTTCATTGTTATCCATAGAGGATGTAACTTGCACCCTCGTCCTAGGAAAGGTGGTGAAAGTCCGTTTAGAGAACTTTGTATTTGTTGCCCCGTTGTGGCCAGCAACGAGACGATGCGTTCGGAGGCTTAGTTTGCCGAACTGAAACTAAGGACCAACAAAGGTCCGAGGTAATCAGGTCATGATATCATGCTGAAGTGGTATGATTATTCGCCAAAGTGATAAGTGAAAGTATTTAAAAATCCGAGCTTGTTAAAATAAGTTGCTGATTTAGAAAGAATGAGACACTAGCCGAAGCGATAATGAACAAACTAGAAATCCAAAATGAGATTCGAAATGAGCTGAGAATGTGCCGAAGTGGCGATGTTCCTAAGTAGCGAGCTAAAACAGCTAAAAATTGTAGGGTTAAAAGAGGTATGTGTATACGTACCCACTCCCCCCCCCCTTTTAGGAGGGGGACAGCTGAACCCGTCAGAGGACGGACTGCCTACGTACCCTGCAGATCAAGCCGTCCCGTAGTTCATGCTGGTCGTACTGCATCCTTAGTGATAGTATTTCTTCAGATGCATTGCGTTCCACGATCTTGGAATCGCCTCGTCAGCTAGTGTCGCGAGTTCGTAGACTCCTGTAAGGACCTTCCCAATTTGCTCCTAGCTTTCCTGCGTTCTTCTCGGCAGTGTTTTGGAAGACCTTTCGGAGGACGAGCTCCCCTGTTTTGAATCTTCGACTTCGAACGTTTTTGTTGTAGTATCTCGCCGTCGCTTGTTGATAGTTCTGGATTCGAATAAAGGCTTGATCGCGCTTCTCGTTGATTAGGTCGAGCTCATCTAGCATCATTAAGTGGTTCAAGCCCTCCTGTTCTGGTAGAAGTCTTCGTCGGATACCTGGGAAATCCACTTCGGGGGGAATTACATACTCCGATCCATAGACCAAAGCGAATGGAGTTTCCCTGGTGGCTCGGTGCGGAGTTGTCCGATGAGACCAAAGGACTCCTTCGAGTTCATCTGCACACCGTCCCGTCTTGGCGTCGAGCCTCTTTTTCAGACCGTCGAGGATCGTCTTATTGGCTGCTTCGGCTTGTCCGTTCCCTTGAGGGTATCTTGGCGTAGATTTGCTGAGGCGGATTTTCCATTTTTCGCAGAAGGCTTCGAAGCGTGTTGAGATGAACTGAGATCCGTTGTCGGTGACTATCTCGTAAGGGACCCCGTGGCGGCAGATGATATTTTTCCAGACGAAGTGTTCGACTTGAACATCTTTTATGCTTGCGTAAGAGTCGGCCTCGACCCACATGGAGAAGTAATCCGTGAGGACGAGCAGAAAACGCTTCTGCTTCGAGCGATGTAGAGGTCCGACGATGTCCATCGACCATCTCATGAACGGATAAGGTGACGAAATTGACGAGAGCAACTCGGTAGGTTGATGAATTGTTGGAGTGTGCCGCTGACATTTCTCGCACTTCGCCGTAAATTTCTCGCAGTCCTTGACCATCGTGGGCCAGAAATAGCCGTGCCGTTTTATCTTGATAGCAAGAGACCTTCCGCTGGAGTGGTTCCCGCACGCGCCGCTGTGCACCTCGTGCATGATCTTTCTTGCCTCCGGTGCTTCGACGCATGTCATGAGAGGCCCTGAAAATCTCCATTTAAACACCGCGCCATCGACGAGGACATACCGTGCGGCCTGAGCTTTTAGTTTGCGGGCTTCCCATTTGTCAGTTGGCACCTCTCCATCGGCGATGTACACTCGGATAGCTATGAGCCATTCTTTGTCGCAGCCGTACTCCGGCTCGGCCGGTGAGGCGTCTTCATCCATTGGAATGGCTTCTTCGTCCTCTGGTTCTTGTTCAGGAGGATTTATCAGCCGAACTCCTTCCACTTCTTCGATGCTAGGACGTTCGATGAATTCGACTGGGATCGTCCGTCGTAGATCTGGGTCTGAGGTCGAAGCGAGTGCTGCCAAAGCGTCAGCCGAAGTGTTTTCTCCTCGGGGAATTCGCGTGAGTTCGAACTCGTCGAATTTTTGCACCAACTCTCGAACTACCTTGAGGTAAGCTCCCATTCGTCCATCCTTTGCCTCATATTCTCCGTTAAACTGGCATGCTACGAGCTGTGAATCACAAAAAGTCCTTATCTTTCGAACCCTGATTCCCTGCGCTAGTCATATGCCGGCGATCAGTGCTTCGTATTCTGCTTCGTTATTCGAGGCGTGGAAGTTCAGGTGAAAAGACTGCTCTAATATTTCTCCGGTGGGAGAGGTGAGGCGGATTCCTATCCCCGAGCCGTGTCTAGATGACGAGCTGTCGACGTGCAGCGTCCATACTTCGTCTAAAGTTGGCTCGTTTGTTGCTTCGGCCGGGAGTTCAATGAGAAAATCAGAGAGCACTTGTGATTTTGCAGACGACCTATTTCGATACTCGATGTCGTATTCGCTCAGCTCTATGGCCCACTTGGCGAGCCGACCGGATTGGCTTGGGCTGTGCAGGATCGAGCGCAGCAGAAGTGTGGCGAGCACAACAATCGAATGCAATTGAAAGTATGGGCGCAGCTTGCGAGCCGAGACTACGACGACTAGGGCGACCTTCTCGATCTGGGGGTAGCAGGTGTCGGCGTCGGTCAGCGTCTGGCTGATGTAGAAAATGGGTTTTAGGTCGGATCGTTCTTCTCTGATTAGTACCCCACTTACTAATCGACACCGCGATGTAGAGGAAGAGCAGCTCTCCTTCGACCGGTTTTGCTAAGATTGGTGGGCTTGCCAGATAAGTCTTCAATTCCTGGAAAGCCGTCTCGCATCGTTCGTCCCATTCAAATTTCTTGTTTCCTCTGAGGGTGTCGTAGAAGGGCAGGCATTTGTCTATGGAACGGGAAATAAACCTGTTTAGCGCGGCGACTCTTCCTGTTAGCCTTTGCACTTCGCGCTTCGTCCTTGGAGAGGGCATCTCAATTAACGCCTTAATCTGCTTGGGGTTTGCTTTTATGCCCCGGTGGGTTACTAGATAGCCGAGGAATTCTCCCGAGGTGACCGCGAACCTGCACTTTGCCGGATTTAGTTTCATGTTGTGCTTGTTCAGCTGTTCGAAACATTCTTGTAGGTGCGCGACGTGGTCTTCCTCCCCGAGTAACTTGACTAGCATGTCGTCGATGTATACCTCCATGGTTTTTCCGAGCTGAGCCGCAAACATTTTGTTGACAAGCCGTTGATATGTTGCTCCTGCGTTTTTGAGTCCGAACGGCATGACTTTGTAGCAGTATATCCCGCGGTCAGTTATGAATGCTGTTTTTTCCCGATCGTCAGGGTGCATCAGAATCTGGTTGTAGCCGGAGAATGCATCCATAAATGTTAACAGTTTATTTCCTGCAGTGGCTTCGACGAGCCGGTTCGATGTGTGGCAAGGGAAAGCTGTCTTGTTGAGGTCGGTGAAATCCACACAGACCCGCCACTTGCCGTTCTTTTTCTTTACAACCACTGGATTTGCGAGCCAGTCCGGATATTTGGCCTCGGTGATTGATCCTAACTTGAGTAATCTCTCGACTTCGTCGTTGACTGCTTTAGCTCGTTCGGGGCCGAGCTTTCTTCTTTTCTGCTTGACTGGCTTAAAGGTCGGATCCACATTCAGCTCGTGACAGGTTACATCAATGCTGATTCCTGGCATATCTTCCGCGGTCCAAACAAAGGTATCGATGTTCTCCTTGAGGAGGGAAAGGAGCTTGCTTCTCAGGGGCTCTCCTAGTTGTGTTCCAATTTCGACGCATCGTTCCGGATGCGCCTCGTCTATGCACACCGAGTCCACTGCGTCACATACCGGCTCGGTACGTGTTTCGCGGCTCTCCACGATCTGTAATTGCTATAAGAGTTTGGAGAGCTCGTTCGCGGGCTCTCTGTCTGTCTTCATCTTTTTGCGGTCTATATCTGCTCGTGCGTCGGTGACGGGGTTCCCCAGTTTGTGCTCGGCTAGGCAGCACATTCGTGACTCCTTCTGATTCCCCCAGATCGTTTTGACGCCTGATGGAGTTGGGAATTTGAGGCAGAGATGATAAGTGGAGGGTACTGCCCGCATCCCGTTGA